CCTCTATTCCTAGTTCTCTGATCTGAATTATATGGGGATGTCAGGGCAAATTAAGTAAAATAACTAAATTTGAATACAAAATATGGTTAACTTTTTGTTTTAGATCATTAGATTTGAGGTATGCACAGCTTGCTAAGTATTTAACTTGACTTAGCACGTCACATGAATGCCCTTAAAACTTCCACCCACAGAACTCATTTCAGATTTAGCAGCTGTGTTGGTCTGGTTTGCCCAGCACCCTGAACCCAAAATCATATTTTGGCTTTGTAGAACCATTTTTGAGTCCAGACCCTTTCTTAGTTTTGAGCAGCATGCTGGGGGCTACAATTAAAAAAATAATTTGCTTTTGCATCCAGGGACACTGCAGGGGGCGGGGGAAGGTGTCAATGATGTAAAAATGTTGAGAGCAACTTGGCAATCAAAGTATGTGTGTGTGAGATGTGTGCAACGCACATTAAGAAGGGCTTTGATCACCAGGTCATGCCTGCCATTTGGACATTGTTGACCCAGTTTGCATCTTTTATCTTTACTTAAAAGTATGGGAAGTATGGGTAATACAATTACTCTTCAGTTGTATTTTTAATATTGATCTCTTCTGCTAGTTTAAAAGTTACAATTTGGTCACAACTTTTGCAACTTTCTAAGGGCTATAAGTAAAGTTTTCAGAGGCCCTGTATGCCCTTGAAGCCTCCAATTGCATAGTGTATTATGTGAACCCAACTAACACAAAAAAGAATTAGTTCATATATGATAATTTGAACAGGCCTTAGGGACAGAGATCCTTAGACTCTGATGTTCAGTACATCTTGGAAGGAAGTGCCAATGGTTTTAGTGAGACTGACTTCTAATATAGTTATCATTAGGCAATAAAAGTTTTGCAAAACTGAGTCTCAGAGAGTCTAGGCATGACTAACATCTTAGTAAAGCTGAAATTATGTTCCAAAGTTTTCTTTTTGAGTTCTAAAAATGATAATGAACAGGAAGAGATAGGAAAAACAACTAGAAGGTAAATGAGTAACAGGAAGCACGGAATTGCTTAAGCTGAAAGGAGAGAAAACTCTCAAGTGAATAAGAAAATTGCTGACTTATAGCATGGAAATATACCAGAAGTAAGATATTGATCTGAGAAAGAGAAGTGATCTATAGAATAGTTGCAGATCAATGGCATTAAGGAAAATGGATATGGCACTTTTCTAGGTAATTCACCTACTTGTAACACTTAATGAATAACTGCATATACATCACATTGTTATTCATTTTACACTGGCAGTATATGTTTTCCTGACTCTGTTTTACTAGTGTCATGGTATTAAAGTCGTATCATTTGGCTTGGTGTTGCATGAATCCAGCCAGTGTGGTTTGTAAATGATGACTTATCCAAGAAACCATAGTTACACAAACCAAGAATTATGGTGAACTAGGAACCTCATCATAATCTAAGAACACTCTCAGCTGCATTTACATAGAAAGAAGGTAATTCTATCATTCTTAGAATGAATACAATATGCTTACGGTATTATACAGTCCTATAAGGGTTACATGTTTGAGCTGGAAGAATCCAGAGACCACTAGATGGCACCAAAAAGATACTGAACAGAAAAATCTAATTCTTCCACCTAGTGGATGTCCAATTAGGAGAAATGAGACAGCATAGCCTTCATGCTATCTACTCAGAACTTGAGTTCAGTGGAGCTTAATTCCAGGAAAGCGGGTATAGTTTCATAGCTGCTTAAACGGTATATATGTCTTTTGAAATTCTTGGTATTTACCTCCTGGCCCAAACTGTACAAAATGTTAGGTAATATGTGACTGGCTACTTGTAGCTTCAGGGTGTTCTGCCTACCCAAGCAATTCAGTACATTCAGTTAACCATGGTTTAGTTAGTCATGTGTTACATGTGGTACAAACAGTTATTCTGGAACTTGTGAGGTGTGGTGGTTAAATGTCAGATGGGGATTGAAGATCCATACTCAACTATAGTTTTCAGTGGTAGGGCTACTTACAGTGGTAAGTGCTAAGAATCTGGAAGCTTGCTAGATAGCAAAATAAGAAATAATTTTTGTATATCTTTGCTGCTATCTAGGGGCCCTCCAAATTTTTATAGGCCAGTTACAATAACCTAGTCTGTGGATAACTATCTCCCAATCCAACCTATATCACTAGGTTGATGTTGTGAGAAAGTGAGGTGAGACCTTGATGTGTATCATTGCAACCTCCGAAATAAAAGTAGGATTTTTAAAAGGAGAGAAACTTTAAAAATGGCTGTTTTAAAAGATTTAGATAGTAGAATGTGTTACCCCAATCTCATTTGCTTTAACCGAAATCCTGGCAAAGATTGGAACCCCTGTTTGTGCTGGGATCAGTTTCAGCACCTGCACTTCATACTGTGAATTATATAGCATCTAAAGACATTGTTACTTTGGATCAGTTCTGAGGAAGCCATTTTTAAATCTTTCATAGAATTAAAATTATTTTAATTTACCTCTTGGCAGTTTATTCAGATGAAATATTACTTACTCAATTTATTTGATGCAGATGTCATCACTACTCTGAAGTTCCACAGCGCTTAGAGATTCATGGTCATGTAATCATAATCTATTTCACTTTCAGAATGGGCAAGAACTGTATGAGCACAGTTCCGCTCACCCAACTTTTCCTCACAACACAAAAGTGTAGTTGTGATTTGATCTGACTGAGTGGAGAGAGAGAGGCATGAAAGTTGGCGGATTGTGTTACTGTATCATGTCTCCGAATGCTTTAGAAGGCTGTTCAAGTGTTGTTGTCCTGAGATGTCATCCAGAACGGCCAGGTGGAAAAGCAAACAAGTCTACAAACTTTTAAGAGTTGTGTAATTCAACAGCAATTTCAGGAACTGACATCTGTATGACAAAAGATGTATCTCACTGTTAATGAAGATCAAATATTGTCTTCTTCTGATTTATGTTATCCAGAGATAATGGAAGTGATACCAGATTTTAAGTTAAGCATCACTCATGTAATTGTTTCTGAAGCATAGCAATACAATATAACAAAAATGTACTTAGTAATTCCTGTCATAATATTTATTTATTACTCATTTTCACTCAGACAAATAGAGCACTAAGATCAGCAGCCACAGGTAGCCACCACCCTTGGAAGGATCAACTCTTGGCCTGGGTATGATGTGAACCTGCTGATGTTGCTGTGGGGACCAGGAAGCATAGAAAAGAAGGTGCAGCAAAGGAAAGAGGAGTAGAGAAGGTAAAAGATCTGTGCTTGGCTTGGGGAGGAGAAAAGGCAAGCAACAGAGGAGAAGAACCCCCTCCTTGTTTCTCTGATGATAACAGCAGCTTTGCAAGGGGCTTGGCAGTGAGAAAGAGATGCAGGCAGGCTGCATAGTCATTACTGGCTCATGAAAGATATTTTATGAGGTCAGTATTCCCCCAAGCCAGGCCAAAAAAAAACAAAAACAAAAACCTTTGGTTGCTGTATGAAAGTCTGGTCGCTCTGATAGCCAAAGTAGACATGGCCGGGTAGGCCTGGAGCTTCATGACCAGATAGGAGGGGGCAGCTCTGCAGTGGGCCAATTGGAGCCATGCAAGTTAATGACCTCCTTCTGGCTCCTCCTCTGTGGGACATAGGAAGTTTTCTTCTATTTTCAATGAAAAATATTTTCTTGCTAGACCCTTTGATCCAGCTTCAGCCTGTTTTCAGCAGCTGCTGGTGGCTGGACCAAGGATGAAGGCACTGATATGAAGATATATGCTCAACAAAATGTAAGCAGTTCATTATTATTGGGCTAAAGGGGCTATGTGAATGAACCCCTGGAAGGTTACAGGGTTACACATGATTAAATCTCAATTTCCTTTTTTGCATAAATACTTATGTGTTCAACTTTTCCTGCTCTTATTGGGATTTCTATTCAGAGCCAGGGTAGTATAGGAGTTACCATGGTGGGATTAGTATTGGGAATAATCAGATTCAAGTCCACCCCCAGTACTGGAAGCTCACTGGCTGATTTTGGGTCAGCTACTCCCTCACTCCAATTTACTCACAGAGTAATTTTTGTGAGGACCAATGGGAAGAAGGAGCACAAGGAACATTGTCTCCAGCTCCTGAAGGTGGGATATAAATCTATCAAATAAATCTCTTCATTCTTGAGTGAATTCCTGCCCCTTCTTGGTATTTCTGATAGATTACTTAGGTGTTCAGGGATGAAACTTTATGCCAACTCCAAGCAACGGCCAACTATTTTTTTCCCCAGTAGCTGATGCCCTTTTTGCTTAACTTGTCCTTGGGGCTGGTTTCACAGTACAGTGTTTGCAACTTGCCTTACCCTTTCAGCAAAGATTTTGGCCATCCATTTTCTGGTGTTTCAGAGTCTTTCACATGTGAATTGATGCTGTTGAGCCTAATTGCCATCAAGTGGAGAATTTAGATCTTTGGAGGGATACTATCTAGGATTTCATCTGTTTACCCATTTTTAAATCCATTTTAAAATCAATTTTTAAGGCTCTTGAATCCCTAATAAGCCTCTGCTTACTCTGCCCATGCTCATTTTGCAAATTGAATTAATTGCACTCCAGTTACGCAGCACTGCTCTTAAAATGACCTAATCAGGCTTGAGCTTTATGTCCCATGTAAATCCATCACTGAAAACTGGGAGACAGAGCTCACTTGTGCCTTAGCGTTGGTCCACTGTGCAACCAATGTGGGAAATACTTTATTTTTCTGGAACAATTAATTATATATAATACAGCTTCTAATTTTATGCTATTTATGCTCCTTTTAAACCCAGTTCTTTAATTTAACTCTTTGGTTTAGTTTTGGTATACCAGATCTGGGCTACAAAAATCCACACAACCATTAGAGTTACAATTTTCTGTACACCTCGCTGCCGTCTAGGGACCGACCAGATCTGGCAGCCCTCCACAAACACACGACACGAGAGGCGGACGAGATCCAAGGTTGAGGACCTGAAGCCTCTCCCACGGCGCCGGGAAGTCGGTTTCACTTTAAGGAAGGACGTGCGCCACGGGCTAAAGAGGTGGGCAGGCGGATGGTTTTGCGCCCGCCTTTCCCTCCAGCAACGGAGCTGTGATAGGTTAAGGAGCTGCCACCGGCTTTTTCCAGAAGTCCAGATAACTTGAAGCTGGTGAGTGAGGTCGATAAATCGGTACGTTGGAATTATGGCAGCGTGTAATTAGCGCAGCTAGCCGTCCTGGGAGAACAGCCGGAATTGAATAGCGCCCGGGAAGGGAGTGGACGGAAGGCTCTGCTTGGGCTGCAGATGGTGCGATTGGTGATTGGATCGGCCCCGGTTGCGCTGCCATCCCCTGATCTGGGCAAGAAGGAACTATTGTGAAGCGCAAGATCGCCTCCGCGCGGCTATATAAAACCTGGTGCAAAGTATGTGGAATTATCGTGGTTAATTTAGAAAAATTTAGAAACCGACTGTCGCGGTTTCCCTGAATCGTACTCTTTGACCTGGAAAGGCCTTGCGAAATTAGCGATTATCCTGGCAGAGTTAGCTCTAGTTGTCGGGCAAATGAGGGAAAAACCAGCTTTGTAGGTTTCTTTTTCTCTCCTCTGCTCCTATATAGAAGCCCTGAGAGGCCTGCGAACTGAGGCCTGGGTCAAATTAAATAGAGAAAACTTGATCAGGGTTACTGAGAATAAATGTATTTGGATACTGACCACAGTAAACATGCTATTCTATTCTACTTAAATTCCACAAAGATCAGTGGGGATTTCCTAATAAATGCGGTTAGTTTGCAGCCGTAGACGGATGAGTGAATGAAAGAAGGGAAGCCCCTGAGAGTCACAAGTGGGAACTGCTAATCTCTAAATCTAGGCCTGATGCGTTAATGGCCCTTGTGACTGGAAACAAGTTTTGCAGAAGTTTTGTAAGGCTGAAAGGCCTCCTTGTAAAGCTGTTTCATTACACATTAAATACCAGCTTAAATTGATCAACAACCTGTTGAAGTAATTAAAGAAAAATAAAATAAATATATAAAGAAATGACTTCTCACCCTCACCACAAGTATAAACAATTTTAGTAACTTATCACCTTCTCTTAAAATACAACGAATGATCCTTTGTTCCCATATCCCATTTCTATAAACAAATCCATAAAACCTCATCATTTCAGTCCTGCTGTCAGCAAAAGTCTATTAAGGGTTACCAGAGATAACAACATACTGTATCTATTTTCACCTTGATCAAATAAACCAAATTTATATTCCTTCAGTATAAAGTTCTTTAGTCCCTTCAAATAATGTTCTAGAACTTGATTTCTTTTCATTTTTCCTTTGTCTCTTCTCACAAAATTCTTCAAGCTTATGTATATTTGTTTTTCCTAGAACCTATACACCAGCTAAAGGCAGATGTAGAATAGGGACTGAGAAAAAATAGAGTACTCACACAGGGATTTGTTTTATAACTAGAACTGATCTTACTGTCCTTTGCACAAAGATC